GAGTGATCTAAAAGAGAAACAGATACATAAAACTAGATAAAATTGGAGTTTTTGTCAATGCTGAAATTAAATGCTTATTTTCAGTGCTGAAAACTGTGGAGTTCATAAAGTCAATAACTCCTTGCCCTACCTTTTCCTATTTGTTCCTTTCTTTAATTCTTCACATTTCTAATAACTACAGAATCATTTTAGTTCCTTTTTTATCTTCATAATTTTGCATAGACTTAAAATATTTTTCATATTCCACAAAATATTGACTTGATGTCTTGATACCCTGATTGTATAATTTGACTACTGGTTTCTAACATCCTTAGTAAAGTAAAACAATTATTTAATGTGTTAAATGTGGATAGAAGCTAAACAAATTATCTTTAATAATTAATTATATTCTAATTTATTCTTGAACAAATTTTGGTATGGCTGTTATTTTTAAACTTCCATAAAGAAGTATCATTTTTTCTCTGATGCCACTATCGGTAATAACAAGTTAAAATAGGAACATTTTTTCATATTTTACTTCATGTTTTTATTTAAAATAGAAAATATTAACAGTATGCTTCTTTGTTTGAATTCAGAAATCAAAAATTAGAATAAAACATTTTATTAAATTATGTAAGAACCTTTAAAAGAAATGGGAATGTGAAAAAATGTTATATACATATATAGCATTATTTGTTTATAATTATTTTTATAAATTTATATTATGTTTATAAATATTTAGAATTAATTATTCCCACATTCCTAGTTCTCATATATATGTGAGAGAAATCACATAAGGAAGGAAAGAATGGGGCTGAAGTGATAGTACAGCAGGTAAGGCATTTGCCTTGTACACAGACGACCCGGGTTCGATTTCCAGCATCCCATATGGTCCCCTGAGCATCAACAGGAGTAATTCCTGAGGGCAAAGCCAGAGTAACCCCTGTGCATCACCGGGTGTGACCCAAAAGAAAAAAAAAGAAGGGAAGAGTACAGTGTGTGTGTGTGTGTGTGTGTGTGTACCATATATGGCAGCGCTCAAGGGTTACTTCTGGGTTTATTCTCAGGAATTATTCTTGGCAGATTCAAATGATATGGGATGCTGAATATTGAACATGAGTCAAGCACCCTACCAGTATACTCCCTTTAGCCCCATTCTTTGCTCTCCTTTTGTTATTTAGTCATAACCCCACAGAATAATACATACTTATTGAGTTATACTAAAGAACAGTTTACCTATGGATATTTAGGTCATAAGATAAATTCATCTGAAGAGTTAGAAATCAATTTGAGTAAAATTTCATTGCTCAGATTCCAGCAATGAAACCCCAGACATGTTTAACTTCTTTCTACATGCAGTTGTAATTCTCCCAACTTGATTCTTCATTAGCTTACAATTGCAAATCATGGATAATTTATTTTGCTACTGTATTTAAATTAGCAACTTAGGCAGTTTGAGAAATATACTCTTTTAGAGTATTTACAGTACCGTTTAGTATACCTGTTTACTATCACTTATTGTAGTGTTAGTTGTCAGATGCTTGTTAATGATCAGTACTCTGAACTAAATGGTACTCTAAGTTTGAGTCTGTCCAGTACAAAAAAGGATAAATTATTAAAATCCAGAAGAATGGATAGATAATTCAAAACTGTGGTCCATAGGGGCGGAGTGATAGTACAGGGATTATGGTGTTTGCCTTGCATGCCTGAAGTTCAATCCCCAGCATCCCATCGGACCCCCGAACACTGTCGGGAGTAATTCCTGAGTGCAGAGCCTGGAGTAAACTCTGAGCATCGATGATATGACCCAAAAAGCAGAATAAAAAATTTAAATTTTTTTAAAGTGTTCTATAAAGTGAGGCTTTTAAATGAGCAAGATTAATGGTTAACAAATGCTATAACTAAGGCTTGAAATTACTCTCACATCAGAGAACACAACTCTCATGCCAGACACTATACATCATCCAAATATAAAACTATTTTTATTTATTTATTTTTGGTTTTGGGGTCACACCCAGCGATGCTCAGGGGTCACTCCTAGCTCTGCATCCAGGAAATACTCCTGGCAGTGCTCAGAGGACCATATGGGATGCTGGGATTCAAACTCGGGTCAGCCGTGTGCAAGGCAAATGCCCTACCTGCTGTGCTATTGCTCCAGCCCCTATCAAACTATTTTTCAAGGGCCAATATTCTTACTCCCAAAGTGTTGTTTAGAAGAAAAATTTTCCACCAAATTCTTGTACACTGTGAGCATTCAGACTGGAAGAATTTAATACATCTTGAAATGGAGGAAAGGGAAACTAGCCAAGGTGTAAGAGACCTATTAATTTGTTTTTTGTTTGGTTTGGGGGCCACACCCAGCAGTGCTCATGGGTTGCTCCTGTCCCTGAACTCAGGAATCACCTGGTGAGCTTAGGGAACCATATGAAATTCCAGGGATTGAATCCAGGTGGGATCTATTATAATCAGTGTGGGGCCAGAGAGATGGTGCGGGGCAAGGCACGCGCCTGCCCGCAGCACTTGAGGCTGAGCACCGCAGTGACCAGCTAGGCAGCTTGGCCTCTGGGCTCTTGCATTGAGCAAAGGCCCAGATGACTGAGAATTTCTGGAAGCAGCTTCTGGACCTACTGAGTACTGCTTGCAAACCCTTTCCCCAGGAGAGGAAAGAATTGTTACTATGTATTTTGGTTGACATGATTAATTCTGTAGTCAGAAACTTTTAAAAAGATGTCTTTGTAATTTGTTTTATTTATTAGATAACATATTTAGGTAGTGTTCATATTTTTGTTATTGATATACAGATTTATTGCCCCCCACTGCCACCTAGGTGTTCAGGACCCTCCAGCACTGTTCCTCTGGCACCTCAGTTTACCTCTTCATTCCTCCAGCCCCTCTCTTCATTGCTTGGTGATTTGAGATTTACAATCCAAGGCCATGGTTTGTCTGTACACCACAGAAGAGAGAGGTCATCTGTTCTTTTATCCTTGCTTGAGTCTCCCAAATCATTTATTTCACTTTTAAATAATATCTGAAACCCCATAGAAAACATATAATAAAAAAAACTGTGAAGAAAAACTAGTATATTATATACCAGTATATGATGTAATACTCCCCAATGAAAAAAAAATAATAAAGAAGCCAGTGATGGTCCATGTCTTTACTGTCTGAATTGTAGTTTAGAGGCAAATGAACATATTTTTTTCTTTAGGTAGACAAATGCTTCTTACATTTTATGAAGCTAGAATTAAGGGAGCTGCAGTATCTTTGAACTGTACTAAGAAGTTGCAGCTATTCTGTTATGTTTTGTATACATTTCTATAACATGTGAGTATGGTCTAACTTACCTCTTTTTCCATGTCTTTTTTATTGAAACACAATGTTATGTTTTGCAGTTAATTAAAACAATGATCACATACTCGGTCTAGCTGTTAGTATTAACAACATGTTCCATAAGACAGTGAACGACCAGATCAAATCTTTCTTCCTAGACTGACTGTAATCATATATATTTAAACTCATGAGGGATAAATGTTTGCTGGTAAATTGTCATTTTACTTTAACATTATATATTAAAATTTTATACAAGCTTTGTGAAAATGAAGAAAAGCAATTTGCCTTTCATTTTTGAAAACATGTTGATATGTAAGGTGAAATAGAACAATGTCTGGGAAATAGTAGTTATCTATTAATATGCACTATGAAAAATTCATGTTTTGCTTAAAATATAACAGATTAACCCCTCATCTTAATATTTAGTTAGGTAAAGGTAAAGGCCCTCCCGTTGTTCATCGATTTGCTCGAGCAGGCCCAGTAACGTCTCCATTGGAGACTTTGTTATTTATATTTATTGTTTTATATTTTGTGGCTTATCACATATTCAAATTTTGGTACTTGAAGGTGAGCAACATTTAGTTAACTACATTTAAATTTAGATGTATTCAGAAAAATACTAAAACCATTGACCTAATTTTTGATATAGAATAGAAATGTTTTATTTTTATCAATTTATATACTAGGAGACACACTTCAAAAATACAGATATTATATTTTCTCATAGAGTATTAATGCATTGTTGACTATACAGATATATCAGTGAAGATAATATAGCAAATATAGTACCAGAATTGGTTTTAAGTTCTTCTCTTAGTAGAATTGTTGGTTTCCTACCAGCCAGCCTTGGTTCCTTCTTGATAATTCTTAGTATCTAAAAAATATTTATGCAAGTTGAAGGATAAAATCCATGGTTTTAGAATTACTACTTTATGTGAGAATTAAATTGAAACTCTTGACTACATACTCTAACCCATTTTTTTTTCTTACTCCTAGTTCATGAATCTTGGAATTCCATGAAATAATTTACAAGTAGATTTTGATAGTTTCATCTGACTTTTTTCTAACATTCTCTTTACATAATAGTAATCTATAAATTTAAATCCTTCTTCTTATTCACTTCTTCAATTATTCTTTCCTCTTCACTCCCATATTGTTGCTACTTGTTATATTTTGGCTACCATTGCAGTATATTAAAAAGTGAATAATGTGAGTGTGGCTGCCTGTGTCTAGACAGGACATTCACTATAATTGTTAATGACACAGAAAAGCATCATCTAGAAAAGATTCCCAGTTCCTACAACTATTACCATTTTCAAACTTACTGTCTTCGTATTTACTTGTGAGTGATGCCGTCATTTCAGATGTCTGTGCCTTAAAATAAAGCATTTACTTAAACTTTTATCATTCTGTCATAGTATCGTTTATTATATAGATACATAATTTAAATAAACAATCTCATCAAAACTCTGCAATTACAAAAAAAAGTTTGAAGAGACCTGTTTCACCAAATAGGCAGTCAAATGCCAAATCACATATTGTCTCTTAGTTTACCTCCGGAGTGGGGAAAACTACCAGCATTTTATTCCCGTTCTTGAAAGCTTCCCTTCCTACAATCGATTATTGTTAGTCTTTGGTTTTTGTGCCTTCTCTGTAATGATATAGGTTTGTTTCTCCTTTATTCTTTGCAGAGTGCTGCAGCAGCTCCCAGTCCAGTGCTAGGAAACATTCCCCCAGGAGATGGCATGCCAGTAGGTCCTGTACCTCCAGGGTTCTTTCAGGTACTCAGAGAAACTCTGATTAGGAATATTAAGGCATAGGAACTCCTCATGGTTATTGAACTTGGTTTTTAGTTATGTAGGACAATGAGACTACTTTAATTCTTAAGATAAACTAAATGCTGTGCAGCCAACTCTTGATTGTTGAGAATGATTTTCTAGTAATTCTCATTAGCCCTGCCCTCCTATGTCTTATTTGTTATCAAATTTTATTCATTTATTTATTTTTACCATTTCATTGTTCAATTAAGAAACAGAACCAGCTGAAATACAAAAATAGCCCACCTAGTTTAATGAGGTAAATATTTGGTGGGACAAGAGGCTCTGAAATGATGTGGAATTTAAGAATCCAGGTTACTCCACAGGATAAAGATAATCAAGATTTGGCTGTACTTTCAAATTATGGCTAAATCACCACCTTTTAATTTAGAAATATTATAAATTATATAAAATACTTTGAGGACCATCTTTGTGGCTTTTAATCTGGGATTTTTATTAATAGAACATTTTGAAATCAAATTTTTAAAAGCATGTTGCAATTTTAAAAATTCAGTAAGATCCTTATTTTAGATTTGAAATGTTTATGATACTGCTTGAAATACAATTTGTCACTTTTTAACTTTATGGTAGTACACACTTTATATTTGATGATTTTCTAACCAATACCAGCATAAATTCTGAAAGATTTTTTTTTACACCCACTTAGAAAATTGGAGGGATTTAGGAGTTAAGACACAGAATTGGTGGGTGTAACAGGAATAAATGAAATATGCTATATTGTTAATGGCTTAAAATAGGTACTGTTACACTAACGTGTTACTTCAGAGTTTCAAATCCTTGATGATATTTTCAAGTCTTGATAATGACTTGTTAGCTAATCTATCCCATTAGTAGATATATTAGTGTATTTATAAGTGTGAAAATGGAAAAATAAAATGAAAAGAAATATTTCAAAGTATATCAGTTGAATTGAAGGGTTTTAGTTATAACCTCACATCAGCTCTGAAATGTAAGTTTCATTAGTGAACCTGTTTGTTTAACTATACTCTTTCAATACTTAGTGGTCTGGAACACTCAAAAGCCTTTGAGAGCTCATATTCTGTGGTGGGAAGTGTTTCCTATAATCTCATACCATGTTATAACTTTTGATTATCAAAGTCATGATTTAATATAGAAATAATAATAGCTGGGGCCAGAGCGATAGTAAAGTAGGTAGGGCACTTACCGTGCATGCAGCTGACTCAAGTTCTGTTCCCAACACCACATATGGTACCCTGAGCACCACAAAGTGTGGCCCCAAACTAAAACTAAAATAAAAGAAAGAAAAACAGAACAGTATTAGCTAATAATAACTAACTGCTTTCTGTATGCCATGCTTTGTTCTGGATGCTTTATATATATAAAGTAGTTGGGCTAGAGCAATAGCACAGCGGTAGGGCGTTTGCCTTGCACGCAGCCAGCATGGCCGACCCGAGTTCGATTCCTCCGCCCCTCTCGGAGAGCCCAGCAAGCTACTGAGAATATCTCGCCCGCACGACAGAACCTGGCAAGCTCCCCGTGACGTATTAGATATGCCAAACACAGTAACAACAAGTCTCATGATGGAGACATTACTGGGCCCACTGGAGCAAATCGATGAACAACGGGAGGACCATGACCATGACCATAAAGTAGTTTGTATATATAAACTCTTAATCTTTATATATATATAAAGTAGTTCATATATATATAAACTCTTAATCCTCAGAATAAACGTAGGTATGAGTTGTATATAGCATTATTGTTCCCACTGTGCAGATTAAGTAACCAAGGGATTGATAAATAAAATGTCAGAAAATACTTTTTAAGTTCACAGTTTACCATTACTTGTGAAATGTTTCTAGATCATTTTATTTTCTTCTTTATGCTTTTATTTCTCTTTCTAAAGATAGATTGGAACTAGAGAGTAAACCAAAAAGTTTATCTACTTACAAAGGTTAGTATAAGCTAAGTGGCCCTTTTTTTAAAGGATGTGTATTAGGATGGAATTTAACTACCTCTGAGAGTTAAACAAAGACGTATAAACCCATGTATTTTTACATTTTATGGCATGAATCATTTCTGTCTTTGACCTGAGTCTTAGTAGAATAGTAGAACAGATAATTTTAATTATTCCAATTTGATAAATATTTTTATTACTATTTGATACAAGGCACTTTGGTAGGCCTCTAAAAATATTACATATACTAAAGATCATTATTTTTCCAGCCAGACATTAAAAATACAAAATAAAAATAATATAGTAAGATATTGCTGTGCCAGCAAAGTCCTGTTGTAACCTAACAAAGCTATTAAATCTGGATAAATTGGAGTGATGGGTGGTTTGGAAAAATGTTTTCAGGGAAAACAAGCAGAGAAATGATATTCCAGAAAGTAGGAATGGTATAATCAAAAGTGTGGCAGCGTCGAAATATGTAGAGGTGTTCAGAGTAGTACGTACCCAAATTACAGGGAGCGCAAGTGGAGGTTCCTGGAAATGATGTTGAAAAGATGAGCTCTGGCACATTGACAAAGGTTGTATAGTGCCCTGTCAAGAACTTTGGGGTTTCGTAGGAGCTGTCAGGGACCTTTAAGAAGGAAAATGACCAGACTCTGAATTATAAAATGGATTCAGACTTTGTCAGGCACCTTTGATACAGTTATATACAAAACCCAGCCATCCAAAAAAAACTTACTCTGTCTGTGGTGAATGAGAGACTGCAAAGCCAATGAGAGTATAGAAAGAAAATGACTATATTAAATTAATAGAATGTACTCTTAGAGCAAATCAGGCCACTAAATCCAATCATGCTAGGGACATTGTCAGGAAAATTTTTACAAAACAGTAACTGAAATTCAGATTGGCATTTATGTTAAGAATTAGGCAAAGGAAACAAAGAGAGGAAAAGAAATTCCAAAAGGGACAAATGTTAAATGACCCAGAGAATAAAATAAAAACAAAAATGAATGGAGTTTGCTTAGCTGAAAGGAGAGTAGCAGGTAGTGAGGCTCTAAGAAGGGTTAATTAGGAGACTGAGCTTGGTGCCAAAACGAGAGTGCCTTGCACACAGTGGACCCTTGTTCCATTCCCCACACCACAAATAGCCCGTAAGGACCACCAGAGGTTACTCTTGAGCACAGAGGCAGAAATAGCTGCTAGCTCCTGCGCACCACTGGGTGTGACCCAGCCTATAAAACATTTTTATAAATAGCGTAGAAATTAGGCTGGGGATTGGAAAGAGAGTACAGTTGTAAGGAGCTCGTTTTGCATGCAGCCGTTTGAGGTTCAATCCCCAGCACCTATATGGCCCCTGAATACCAGAGAAAGGGAGAGAGTAGAGGAAGGAAAGAAGGAAGGTGGGAGGGAGGGAAGGAAGGAAATAGAATGTACGTTACTGCAGAGGATACAGGATAATTCTGGCAATGATGTTTGTTATTAATGAATAGTTACTATGGGAAAAAAGAATAGCTTTTTTTTTTCTTTTTGGGTCACACCAGGTGATGCTCAGGGGTTACTCCTGGCTCATGCACTCAGGAATTACTCCTGGTAGTGCTCAGGGGACCATATGGGATTCTGAGAATCGAACCCGGGTTGGCCACATGCAAGGCAAACGCCCTACCTGCTGTTCTATTGCTGTAGCCCCCAAAAGAGTAGCTTCTTATTGTAATAGAAATAAGATTAGATGATCATACGTAATGTTCAAACCCCACTTTATAAACCAGTTCCAAAGAAATACTGCCCTCCACGTTATTCAGATCTCAAGAAACTCTGAAAGGCTATCATTATCAGAGTTCATAGAGTCTGATGGCCAAGATCAGGTATAATCCTGATCATTCATTTGGTGCAAGGCAGGGAAGATTGGAAGCAACTGAAAAGGAGCTATATTTCCTTCCAGTTGGTAGGATGACTGACTGGAATAAACTCAAGATTTCCCCTAAGTCAGAAACATCTCAGAATTCAGAAGATCCTTAGTTCAAAACAAACATGCTAACCAGTTTCCCCAGTCTCTTAGTTTGGTGCCTGCGGCTAAATCTTAGAAGGTGATTGCCCCCCAATGCCTTTGACCATTAGAGTATGAGAATAATTTGAGATCACAATTCTTGTGGTGAAGCTTAGTTGGGTACAGTTGGAACTGAACCTGACTGGGTAAAATTTGAGCCTATCAGAATTTTAATTAATAACTGAACATAAAGAAGAAGAATTTGTAATTCACATGTAAAGCACTGGTTTTAAGTACTTCTTTTCTTTTTTTGTTTTTGTTTTTGGACCACACCTGTTGGGGCTCCAGGGTTATTCCTGACTCTGTACTCAGGTATCCTTCCTGACGGTCTTGGGAAACCATATGCAATGCCAGGGATCGAACCCCGGTTGGCCATGTACAAGGCAAGCCCCTACCAGCTTCATTATCTCTTTAGCCTGGTTTTAAATATTTCTAAGTTCTATTCATTGTATGATTAAACCGTAGAAAGCACACTGAAGTCATTCTATGCAGTAAAAAAAACTCCCTCTTTACATTGCAAAACAAACCCTCTCTTTTTCAGACTTTAATATATATATATTCCTAACAACTGTATTTGAAAAATTATAATTTAAACTCTCAAATAAATAATTATGATTAATACCTCACACATTTAATAAGTCCATCCTAGGAGACTAGATTAATGACTATCTTCTGTGACAGGTATTAATATTGTTCATACTTAAACTTTGACATTTTTATTGTAATGGGACGGCTTCTGTTGTTGAGCAGAAGACCATTAAGTAAGATCAATGGAAAAAGTTGGACATGCAAAAAGTGGAATCAATTTGTACAGTAAAACCATTTAAAGGAATATTCATTTACTTGGAGTCTTATCAGTGGAATAATTTTTTGTACAGAGCTCTGTAAGTTCTTAAAGTGACCTTCTGTGGAAGAAGTAAAGGACTTCGGTGCAGCTTTCTCAAATCGGAACATCTTGTTCCTAGAGTTAGAGGGATCACAAGA